TTCCTTTGGATGATCTATCCCAAACCCCAATCTCTCTAACCCTTTCTCATCTTGAATGGCTCTTTACACCATTCTAACTACCTCTCTACCCACCCTCTAGACTTTGTCAACATATATAACCACTTTTAAAAGCAGTCACTTAATTTGCTTCCTGATCTCAGGCTACACTTTCTTATTGTTCATTTGTCCAATGACTCCCACTATTCCCATTTCTTTTTTAATCTCATCAGGATCCATTAATTTCTCTGCTTTCTTATCTCAGTTCATCAGATTTCTATTCTCTACTCCTAATCCAGCTAAAATTTAAGGTCTCATCATTTTAGTAACTATTTTTGCCAAACCAGGAATTGATTACTCAATAAATAAGGTAAGCACGGGTTTATTTGTGCTTACTCATTAATCTATTGTGCACAAGTTCATCATAGCAAAGATGTGGTTAAAAAAAAGTGAAACTGACACGTGAAACTATTCACTAGACTATTAAATAAAACAGACACATGTATCCCTTGCCGAGTACTCTGATCCTGACAGGGATTGTAAATTTAAAGACACTTTGATTCTCTAGGAAGGTGCTGTGGGGTTAGATGACAGAATTTCTGATGTGATGAAAAAACATGAAATTGTTCACTGCAGATTAGTAAAAACACACAATGCTTACCTTGCTTATTGAGTAATCCACCCCTCTCAATATCCTAAACTACATTGTTTTGGTCTTTTTGTTACAATCATCAAGCAATCCTCCCACTCTCTGTAAAAAATTCAAATTACCCACTTTCTCTCTGGCTATCTTCACTCAGTGTGTCAGGAATATTTATTATAGAATGAATTGATAATCCCGTCTTCGATAACTGGTATTACCTTTTAAAAAAATCATTTTATTGGGGGCTTGTATACTCATCACAATCCGTACATCCATCATGTCAAGCACATTTGTACATTTGTTGTCATCATCATTCTCAAAACATTTTCATTCTACTTGAGCCCTTGGTATCAGCCCCTCTTTCCCCCCTCCCTCCCTCATGAACCCTTGATAATTTATAAATCATTATTTTTTCATGTCTTACACTGTCTGACATATCTCCTCATCCACTTTTCTGTTGTCCGTCCCCCAGGGAGGAGGTTATATGTAGACCCTTGTAATCAGTTCCCCCTTTTTACCCCACCTTCCCTCCACCCTCCCAGTATCACCTCTCTCACCACTGGTCCTAAAGGGATCATCTGTCCTGGATTTCCCGTGTTTCCAGTTCCTATCTGTACCAGTGCACATCCTCTGGTCTAGCCGGATTTGTAAGGTAGAATTGAGGTCATGATAGTGGGGGAGAGGAAGCATTTAAGAACTAAAGGAAAGTTGTATGTTTCATCAGGTATTACCTTCTTAATATTTTCTTTTCTACCCTGAACATATCATCTCTTTGGGAAGACCCTTTCCGAAAGGCTCAGACTGCATTAACAACTCTTTCTATATATTCTTACTGTTCCTACTGTTTTTTTTTTGTTGAAATATTTATCAGATTTGTAACTACTTATTTAAAATCTATCTTCTTTGCTAGATTATTGGGTTTATGTCCACTTTATTTCCATCTCTTAGCATGTACCATATAGGGATGCTCAGGAAACACTGTTGAAAGTATCTGGCATCTACAGAATAAAGATTTCTTCAAAATTGTTATTTATTTTAAAAGTTAATTTTATTACTAGGTGATGGTTTACAGAGATCAGTTTTCCATTCAGCAACTCACACACACTGTGCTCGTCTCATTGACTGCAACCCCACAGTGCAACATTTATTACCCTTCCTCCCTGTTTCCTGTTTTCATTCCTCCTTCTTTCTCAACCTTTCTGAACTTGTCCTTGAGTTCTTTTGATATCAAATGACTGGTGTGATTTTTCCATTTATAAACCTGCTTATTGTTTTGCTGAAAATGAAGTCATGGGAGGGAGTTCATTTCCAGACTGGAAGAGTAACTAAGGGCCATAGTCTTGTAAGCCTGGTCTCTTTAAAGGTCTACAAATCCAGTTTTAATTACAGAGGAAATATGAGAAGGCTTCAAAAAGTTTGTGGAAAATTCCATCATTTTGTAATTCCTTTTTTCCACGAACTTTTTGAAGCCACTTCACATATTTAAATGTTAGCACAAAATGAGAAATTGTACAATGAATCAACTATAACTCAGGATTAGCAAAAGGTTCACTTGACATGTTTTGAAAAATTTAAATGACTGAACATACCAAGTGTGTAATATGAGATTTCCTGAATAATCATTGTATTAAGAGCTATTCCTCATTTTTTTCTGGCGAGTCAAATTCGATTAATAGGGAGTCTACAGATCAGAGTGGACCTGCCCAATAGGATTTCAAAGGTTGTAAATTTTCTGAAGCAGAACACCACATCTTTCTATCACAGAGTGGCTGGTGGGTTTGAACCATGGAACTACTGATTAACAGCAGAGCGCTTTAACCATGGTGCTACTAAGGGTTCTTATTAAAAGACATACATCTATTTTAATAAATTTTTCTTTAAAAATGACTAAAAGTGGTAAATTTATGCCATTTTCCTTTTATTTTGAATACAAAGACCCTAATGAGAACTACTTGCTTTGATTAAATGCCAGGAAAATATTGGCTTCTCCAGATAAAGAATGTACTTTCTATTCTTTCATGAATATATAATTTTAATATTCTTCCTGGAATCTACTGGTTTGTTTTTGGTTTGGTTATGCTTAAACGATTAGTTTCATATATATATATTTGTCAGCTCTGAGTATGCTATATCTTGGCTTAATAACTATGTTCACTATATGGTTGTCCTAGAAAAAGGGCAGGACTTGTTGTCATAGCAATTCTAGTAAAAATATAAATTCTGTTATTTACTAGTTCTGGGTCTATTCTTTACAAAATGGGTTTTAAAAAAATGTGTTTCTCAGAGTTGCTGTGAGGCTTAAATGAGACAATAAGTTTAAAGCCAGGAACTCAAAAAAAGGTAATCACAGTATTTTATTTTAGATGATGTAATCTGCATGATTCATCCCAGGGTGCCCGGGAAGGCATGCCTGACGCTCCTTTTCCAAAAGGTCAAAGCCTCGAAAGTCTATGAACCTGGGACCTCCTTGAGGGGAAATTGCAGCAATTGTAACAACAAAAATATCTCTCTAACACCCTTATTTTTAGAGAAATATGTGAAAGCTGAAATTCTACTGCAATATGGCTAAATAAAATGAAATTTTAGTGAAATACTTGAAAAAATTATAATGCTAAAATTTTTCTGATTTTTTTTTTTAGTCATTGTATTAGTTTTCTTTCTATTAATGTGACTTGTGTCCATTCACTTCCAGAAAGGTTTGGATACCTGTTAAGTACCAAGCACGATTAGGCCCTGGAGATCCAGTGATGTATTAAAAAACATTTTTTTCGTCTTCATGTGCTCATGATCTAATTGAAGAAGATTTTGACCATTTTAAATGTACGTTTTCACTATATCTTCTTAACATTTGATCAGTAATTTGCTCATTAAAAAAAGCTGCTTTTCTGATCCCCACTCCCAATCCTATCTATTTCTCAATATTTGTTAGCTTATAGGACAATTAATTCTACTGGCGGGAACACTTTCAGACTTCCAGTACACTCCCTTAGCAGAAGAAGGGAACTTCATGAGGAGTCAGGCAGCTAGTAATCTGAAAGGCACTCTACAGATAATTACATTTAAAAAATTAAAGCCATGGTATATTTTCACGTGCTTTCCAATGTGCATAAAATACCCCCTTTTGGAAAGGGGATGGTAGGGTCAGACATCTATTATTCGCTTACAAGAATTCAATTTACCTCAAGAAACATTTAAAGAAAATGAATAGACTGTATGTAACCATATTCTACATGTGACCTCCTCCCTGGGGGATGGACAACAGAAAAGGGGGTGAAGTGCAAGAAATGACAAAATAATAATGATTTATAAATTATCAAGGGTTCATGAGGGAGGGGGGAGTGGGGAGGAGGGGGAAAAATGAGGAGCTGACATTAAGGGCTCAAGTAGAAAGCAAATGTTTTGAGAATGATGAGGGAAACAAATGTACAAATGTGCTTGACACAATGGATGTATGTATGGACTGTGATAAGAAATGTACAAGCCCCCAATAAAATGATTAAAAAAAAGAGAAAGTTTAAGCCATAATTTTCTGTGATAACCTTAACATCAATGTTGATGATGATAGTGGGGTCACAGAACAACAACATAGGACAAGAATCAAACCCTACTCCTTATCTCCCCTTTTTAAAACTGACAAGAAAAGCCTTGAGATAGTCTCTTCAAAACTTTAGGTACCAGACAGAATAAATCACAACTTTAAGGGAGCTAAATTATTTCACTAAGGATAAGGCACACATGACGCTAATTCTGTAAGGATAAGGCACACATGGCACTAATTGTGCCAATCTGGCCGATAAACACGTGGGGTTAATTGAAAGGTGGAGAGATAAATGGCTCGGTGAGCCTCGCCTTTCTAGTTCACAGGTCTCTTGCTTTCTGATGGTTGGACCAGGGTGCAGCTACCTTAGCCAGTTCCCTGCTTTAGCTTGCATGGCTCACTTCCTGCAAGATATCCCTGAGAAGCCATATGGACCTACCCAGATGCAGCCCTGGGTGCTGGAGCAGCTGTGTGGAGACCCCTGCCAGTGCTGAGATGCTTACACTCATTGATTTGGCTTTCCTCCTGTAGTTGGTATAATTGTGTCTATTTTGTGAGATGGAGGAGGACTTTGTGGATTGGTGTTGGACACATGGATTAATGAGTTAATGTTGGACTTGTGGGCTTGGGCAGCACTGGGTCGGGATGTTTTCTTGATGTGCACTTAACCTTTATATAAAACTCTAATACATGAGTTTTTGTGGATTCATTTCTCTAAAGTACCCAGACTAACACACAGTGCCATATTGCAGCAGGGGAAATTTCACATGCATTTTAAAAGTTGTACTGCTCATCTACAAAAATAAATGAACTCACTCTTACCAGCAGTCCTCTCATTTTGACCCAGAATATTATGTCCTCTCTTCCATAGGGGAACAGATTCTTCTCCCGTAGTTTTAAGGGTTTTAAAACTCTTATGCTTGCTTTCTTCAAACACAGGACATCTTTGGGTGCAATATGATTTCCCATCTTGATGAGCTACCATCTGAATGCTACTTGAGTGATTTATTTTTGCTAGCGTTTGGCACTCAGACCCACAAGGAGAAGGCAGAAGGGGAATCACAGTGACTTTGTTAGAACAAGCATCTGAGAGGGGAGGACTACTGCCTCGAGTCCACGGATTGAAACGATGTTCCACTGGATGTACATATTTTGAATTGAAACAATTATGTGCAACATTTTGAGAATTTTCAGGCATTACTGACTGACACTGAGAGATTTTTACATTTTTACCACTCCTAATATTGGTGGTGGGTTTAGGAGGAGGGTGAGGTACCATTAGTTTCCCCTGAGTTTGTATAAATGACTTGGCTTTGCTTGCAGAATGTGGTTGAACAACTGTGCCTCTCCGGTTTGTGTATAAGCCTGATTGGACTTTAGCAGATCTTGTTCTTCTACTCACATCTGCACCATCTTTCTGGGGCTTTGCAACATTCTGAATTGTGGAATCACCACTATGGGCAAGGGGTTTACTCTCCTCTTTTTTTGAGGCTAGCCAGGCTTGCTTAGCAAAGTTACAACCCGAAGGCACAAGAACACAGTTTGAAGGCACATGGTCTGCTTCAGATCCTCCTAAAGTAACATTTTCAGTGACAGAATTGTCCGTGGGCCTTTTTCTATCCAAGACATTTACAGCAGAAGAAGGAACACCAGTTATATTGCCGGCAACACCGCTTTTCATTTGGGTGTACAACTGTTGACCCCACTGCTCAGGTGCTCTTGTTCCACGGGAATGATTCTCTTCAGCATTATTTGCCATATTGTCAGCGTCATCAAACCACCTCAGTCTTTTAATCGTTTTTTGAATATCTGCCCCTTTCCCCTTTTCTTTTCTTAGTTCAATACTATCCCTGATAGCTGCTGCTTTTTGATATCCAAACCTACAGTCTTGATTCATCATTAGTGCCTCAAAATAATGATGGTCATATTTAGATTCTTTCTTTAAAATACTTTTCAGAAAACTTACACCATTTCTGTCATGTATGTTGTACTTCATTTTCTTCTGAAAACTAACTGTGTCATTAGACATTACAGTAGACAATGTTTCAGTTGTTTTCTGTGTTTTATTTTTTGAATCAGGGTTGTGTGGCATGTAGGCAGCTTGAATATCATCTATAAATAAAGGCAATTCTTCCTTGTTGTTGTTAAAATGGTGCATATTTTCATTTTTTATATCTTTCAAGTCATCTAACTTGTCAGAACACTGCACTGGGTCAATTTCTCTTATGTGTACCCTGTCCTTTGGTAAAGGTCTAGCTGACTGTGCAGTTGGAGGCAAAACTAAAGGTGTCGCCACTGGCACATATGAAGTATGAACAGAAGTAGCTGAATTTTGTTGAGTTAATTCAGAATATTTCTCTTGGTCCAAAAATGTAGCAACTTCTCGGGCTGGAGAATCTGGTCTGGCCCAGGATTTATTGAATTTTAAGTTTGGGCTTTCAGTAACAAATGGGCTCTCCATTTTGAATGTTCCAGAAGAGGAGCCAGTGCTAGCTTCAGAAGTCTTTCCATTTTTCTTATTGTGTGCAAAGAAGCGTGGGCTGTGTACAAAGGCGACTGGGTTGTTAGCAGTGTTTGCAGTTCTTTCCACAGCGCTACTCAGAATAGGTGTGTTTTCTCCTGCACTGTTAGGACATTCACCAGAAGGTAGGGCATTAGGTTTATTAAACATGTCTGAGAACGATGTTACAGTCTGTGTATTGGGGTCATCTAAATTTATAAGCCAATTATTTATATGCTGAGTTTTAGAGAAGGATAGTTTGTCTTCATCAAAGCAGCTTAGATTAGTTGATTGCAGATTTGTTGATCCGAGGGAGATGGAATCCTGCCGGCCTGATGTGGAATGGTCCTTACTAAGAGTTAAATATATTTGTTCACGCTCTCCAGCTTCAAGACTGTCCATACTTGAAAGACTTTCAGAATTGGCTATCTGGTTAACTTCATCACAAAATTTCTGGGGGGAAAAGAAAAGAACATTGTTTTATAATTTACACATATTTAAATGCTAAAATTAATGATTCAATACACCACGCTGAGCCCAATTTTCCTTAGCATATAAATCATAGTAGTATGATTATAAATTTGTAACCACTTAGCATTTAGAACAATAGGATATAAACTATCTCTATCCCTAGAATAGAAAAATGATGAGTTAACAGACTTAAATAAATTCCTAAAGTAAGTTCCAATTATTCTAACCAGTTGATACTGTCAGTTAAGTGTTTAACTCCTAACCACTAGGTCAAGGGTTCAAACCCACCAGTCAATCCATGGGAGAAAGATGCAGCTATCTGCTCCCATAAAGATTTACAGCTTGGGAAACCCAACATATATGCTTGCTATGAGTCAGAATTGACTCAATGTCAGTGGGTTGCAAAAATTCCACTTATAGCATGCAGTTTCTTGAAGGTCTCTTAAGAAGAGAAGACCAAATTCTGATAATAGTTGTTTACAAAATGTATTTTCCCCCCTGAAATTTTCCCTGTTCTTAATTTTGAGCCCTTAAAATCTCTACAACCTTAATGTGAGCTTCCTATTGATTAGGAATTCATTAAAAAAAAACACCCAACAACATTAAAAACATTAAAAAAAAGGTTAACCTCCTTGTCTATAGAAGGGGTTCTCAAATTTAACTACATATTATACTACCATTAAAAAATACTGTGAAGGTAAACAAGGGGCCATCTAGCTCAGAAGCAACAAAGCCCACATGGAAGAAGCATACCAGCCTGTGTGATCACAAGGTGCCGAAGGGATCAGTTATCAGGCATCAAAGAACAAAAAATCATATCATTGTGTGCTCACCTCCATGATACCATTGCTGAAGACA